GGACGACGCGTCGCGTGTTGAGTTGGGTGGGCCACTAGCTTGTGCGGGCCACTAACTTGTGGATTACGTTAGTGTAAGAGGAAAGTCACGGCAGAGGGCTTTAGGATGGAATTGATAGATAATTATATATTAAGAGAAAGACAAATCCGTAAGGAAACTTAGGGTCCAGAAGATCGCGGCTACCTTAAGCAAGCGCGTGAGAAGCCTACGGTGCGCAGCAGGCCAGTCGCCCGGTACACTTGCAACCATCCCCTAACATACTCTGCGTCTAATTTCGTCTATTTTGTCGCTTCTCACGCATAGATAGGGGTAGGGGTACTCGGCGCCAGAGGTGGGAGGGTAGAAGCTTGTCGTGTTGCAGTGTTTGGCTCGCGTTTGCCACGTGACTCCACTAAAAGTAGATCTCCACCACCAAATACTCCACAAGCAAGCCTCGGTTGTGACCTTCTCGCCAGTTTAGAAAGTATTTCTTCTTCTTTTAGTTGCTGGGTGTGCAATTATGTTAGTCTATAAGTGGACTAACCTAGGGTGCAGCACAACATACGATTCGACGGGCGAAAGTAGCGCTGTTGCCAGAGCGAAATAAGCCCGATAGTTAACTGAAGAACGCCAAAGATGATGGAAACAATGACCGCCACAGACAGCCGGAATTGAGCCATAATGCGGCATGTAGAGGCGAAATCAATATGTGAATGCTTTTTAGAGCAATGGAGCGGGTATTGTTCCAAGGCGAGGCGAATAGATAGACCAGTCTTCGAAGAGCCCGGTACGCTTGTTGCGAAGAAGACTTACGTTACAGCGAGTGCAACAGCATTTTATTTAACGCTATTTTGTAGTTTTGCAATGACTACTCACATTGTACATTTGTATGCACAGGGCTTGCGACAGAGTGCTAAACAGAAGCCTCGTGGCGCGCCCAGGGCTCACCGGTACTGCCAAAACTGCAACAACAACCACCATGAGGAACGAGATAGTACTTTTGATTGAGGCTTCCATTGCGGCGTGGTGCACGGTCAGCAGTGCAGCAAGCGCACAGCACGAGCCATCTCTCTCTCCAGTCGGCAACAGAAAGAGATCCGTGCGGTGAATCCATCGCGTGGATGGTGAAGACCGCAGCCTCCGAAACAGCAGTACTTTTGCAAAAACGCGCACGGCCCTTACGAGCGGCGGGCGGGTGTGCGCCCAGACGCTCGCGCCCCGGCGCACATGCACGCTCAGCCGCAGCGGCAGTGCATAGGAGTTCTGTTCTTCGTCCAATCGACGCTCGTCTGCCACCACTGCACTTCAGCCCGGTTTGCAGTACATACAGTAGTATATCTTCCCCACGTCGCGGCCAGGCCCTAGTCTCCCTGCTACATCACTCCATTTCTCCACGTTTGCCCCGTCCTCTCAGACGGCACTGTTGCATTCGAATTTCCAACCAAGAACAGGGCAGTCAGATCACCAACACGCGGAAGCCCAAAGAAACGTCAGCATGTATCCCGGAACGGCCGAACCGCCTGTTTTCGGCGAGCTCGATCTTTCATATCCCATACCAAGTCCCCTCGCCTCACAGCAAGCGTACGTGCTCTACGGTAGTCCCATAGCGCCCCATAACGTGGCCTGGCAGACGCTACCGACAGATGGACACGTTACGACTGGACAAAGCAGCGTGTCCCAATTGTTCCATCCCTCTCCAGCACTTCACATCCATGCGCCCCACAACGCCGAATCAATCGACGATGCCCCAACCATGCCCACAACTTCCATGGGCCCGCCAACCAAGCCACGAAAGAGAAAGGCTCCGACACTGCGTGCTGACGCTTGGGAGCCATACAAAGCTCGAATTGTAGAGCTCCATATTGCGCGGAAATTACCGCTTCCGGAAGTGAAGAAGAGGATTGAGGAAGAGTTTGGTTTTACCGCTGAGTATGTTTCTCCTTTCACGTCAAGTGCGGGAGATCTCTGGTGTAGTTGTACACGTACGCTTACTTTTTAAAGGCTGCGACAATACAGAACACGTATAAGTCAGTGGAACAAGGATAAAAACGTTAAGGGAAAGGAGATGAGAGCAATTGTTAGGAAGCGACAGGAAAGGAGGCTTGTTGATGTTAAAAAAGGCGAGCTGATTTTTGACATTAGAGGCAACAAAGTGGAGCCGCAAAAAATCGACAGATGGATGAAGAGGCATAAGGTTCCCGAAAGCTTCTTGTACGCACCTAGTCCCGCTGCATGTAAGTTGACGGACAACCGATATTATATCCGTACAATACTGACATGCCGAAGCAACCCCATCCGATGTGGGTTGTCGCACAGTCTCCGAACGCGGTTCTCCGGTTCCAAGCCCTATGTACTCACCAGGAATTCCATACTTCTCACCGGCAGGCATTACGTCTGTCGCCCATAGCCCTCCGATGTTATCTCCTACCCTCTCAATTTTGAGCATAGTTCAGCCTCAAGGCAGCACTTTCGCTGGGCAAAGTCCGGCTCCCACCTATCGATCTGTTCCAGGCTTTCCTCCAGACTCCCCGTCCACTTTAATCGCATCCCAAAGCCAATTTATATCGGTAGATTCTGATACCCCTGGATATGCGCTACCGCTAGAAGTAAGAAGCACTACAACACGCTCTATACAGTATCGGTATAAACAAACAGAGGAAGAGCAACTGCGGGAAGAACTATTAATGGCCGAAACTTTGTACGGAATGAGCCACACGGAGACCTTGGGCATACTTTCCAAATTAGGTATTGTACTTATGGACCAAGGACGATACAGGTCCGCAGAGGAAATGATTCGCAAATTGGTGAAAGGTTGCCGAGTTATAAATGGAGACGATGACGTTAACACGCTTGATGCTTTAAACCTCCTTGGAGAAGTTTTACGCTATCAAGGAATCCACGCCAAAGCTGAGAAATTGCACCGACGAACATTCGAATCTAAAAGGATCATACTGGGAGACAAGCATCCTTCCACGCTGACCAGCATGGCCAACCTGGCGTCGACGTATAGAAATCAAGGGCGGTGGAAGGAGGCCGAAGAGCTGCAAGCTAAAGAACTAGAAATGTGCTCGAGGGTACTTGGCGAGGAGCATCCAGACACGCTGACCAGCATGGCCAACCTGGCGTCGACGTATAG